AGATGCAAGAGGCACTTGCTAGGAGGAAGGAAGCTGAGGAGAGACAGAAAAGGGAAGAAGAGGAGAGGCAGAGAAGGGAAGAAGAGGAACGGCGGAGGCTTGAAGAGCTTGAGAGACAAGCAGAAGAGGCTAAACGTAGGAAAAAAGAAAGGGAAAAGGAGAAGCTCTTGAAGAAGAAGCAGGAAGGCAAGCTTCTAACGGGGAAGCAGAAGGAAGAAGCTCGTCGGTTGGAGGCAATGAGGAACCAAATACTGGCTAATGCAGGAGGTTTGCCTATCACAGACAAAGAAGGTGCACCAACAAAACGTCCCAAGTATCAGACAAAGAAGTCTAAACCAAGTCATCATACAAATGGTGCTGCCCATGTCAAAGTCGAGGAAAATATGGAAGCTAGAGAAAAAGAGCAAGAAAAGCCAGAGACTGTGGCAGAGGATTCCATGGAAACAGACGCAGTTGAAGAAGTGGAATCTGTGAATACTGAAGAAAAATCAGAAGTTGCTAGTACAGCCCAGGAGAACGGGATGGAGGAAGAGGATGAAGAGGATGAATGGGATGCAAAAAGCTGGGATGATGTCAATCTTAACATTAAAGGTGCATTTGATGATGAAGAAGTTGATTCCGCGCCTCAGCCAGTGGCGAAGAAGGATGCAAAAACTTTTGTATCAACCTCACATAATACAGGTGAAGATTGTTTCAACCAAATTCTTTGATGCCTTTTTCCTTCTAGTCTTGTTGTCTGTTTTAATTTTTCTATATCCTTGCCTTCTAAGCTCCTATTGCAGCGGCTAAGGATGCTGTGAAGAAAGCGATTCCTTTGCAACCAGTTAATACTCATGATGTTGAGAGTAAGAATAGGCAGGCTGAGGTTACTACTGTGAATAAAAATAGGAAAACAGATGCCTCAGCTAAAGGAAAAGCTCCAGTTCTGGATGATGCTCCTAAAAAGGCTGAAGAAAACCTCCGATCACCAATCTGCTGCATTATGGGGCATGTTGATACTGGTAAAACTAAGCTGCTGGATTGTATCAGAGGAACAAATGTGCAGGAAGGTGAGGCTGGGGGTATTACTCAACAGATTGGTGCAACCTATTTCCCTGCAGAGAACATCCGTGACAGAACTAAGGAATTGAAAGCTGATGCAACATTGAAGGTTCCAGGTCTGTTGGTTATTGATACCCCAGGCCATGAATCATTTACTAATCTACGATCCCGGGGCTCTGGTCTTTGTGATATTGCAATTTTGGTTGTTGATATCATGCATGGCTTAGAGCCACAGACTATAGAATCACTCAATCTCTTGAAAATGAGGAATACAGATTTCATTGTTGCATTGAACAAGGTAAGTTCGACTTCTAGAGCTACCAATCAGCTATTTATTTTCCATGTTTGCATTCTAGATTTGTTTTTCTTCTCTTAATGTGTTTCCAAATTTCCAGGTGGATAGACTCTATGGGTGGAAGACCTGCCGTAATTCACCAATTGTGAAAGCTATAAGACAGCAATCTAAAGATGTGCTCAATGAATTTAATATGAGAGTTACAGGGGTAATGCCATCTCATCCTTAGGATTGTTGATTTGTTACGATGGAAGCTTCCTCAATTTTTGCCTTTCTTTGCTTGGTCAGATTATAACTCAGTTCAAGGAACAAGGGTTGAATACTGAATTATACTACAAAAATAAAGAGATGGGGGAAACTTTCAGTATTGTCCCCACAAGTGCTATTAGGTATATGACATGATCTACTGTGAGTTTCCATGATTTTTAGGCGCAAAATTTCACTTAATCTTGTCCTTGTACCCTGGGTATGTTGATTTTACAGTGGAGAGGGCATCCCTGATTTGTTGTTGCTCCTGGTGCAATGGACTCAGAGAACAATGGCTGAGAAACTTACATTCAGCGATGAAGTGCAGGTTTGTGTAAATTTCTTGTCTAAGTTTCAACTAGATTATGGTTGAGGATAATCTGAATATGAAAAATCTGATTGTTGGATGGAATTGTTTGCCAGTGTACGGTACTGGAGGTAAAGGTAATTGAAGGCCATGGGACAACAATTGATGTTGTGTTAGTTAATGGTGTCCTCCATGAAGGAGATCAAATTGTTGTTTGTGGGTTACAAGTAAGCCTCCAGAACTCTGTTGTTCGGTATGTTCTGGCAAGATGATAAATGTGAAATGCTCATTGAATAACATTTCCGTTACAGGGTCCTATTGTTACGACAATTAGAGCTTTATTGACACCTCATCCAATGAAAGAACTTCGAGTAAAGGTATTTTAAGTTTATTATAGGAATATTGACATATTAATAGAACTCTCTAATAGTTTTATTTTTTTGGAAGATCTTTGTTTTTATTTTTATTTTATTAATTTTTTTTTTGAAATAAAAAGTAATCAGTATATTAACAAGTACCAACAAAAACGGAGATACCACCCATGTACAGAAGAATTTATATTATAGTTAGAGATTCGACATCTCTAAAATCTTCATCACAAATAATGTCGTGACCTAATAGGATAGACCCAAAAAAATTCAGCCATCTGTCCTTTAACTTGGAAAAATTGCAGTCCTCACCCTCAAAAGCTCTACGATTCCTTTCTTTCCACAAAACCCAAAAAACTGTTAAAGGGATCACATTATCTAATTTATTTCTAACATTAAGACTGTCCCAAGCCCAAATCTCATCCATCACCGACCCAGCAATGACCCACTTAGTGCCCAGAATACCATACACAAAGCTCCACAATCTGTAGGCAAGAGGACACCAAAGAAGATTTAACTCCAGTGATAATAGTCTAATTGGAAGATCTTTATGTCCTCTTCCTAACTAAAAGAACTAAATTAACTAAACTGGTGTGCGTTCTTTGAACTTTTGTCTGAGAGTCTAGTTGTGGTGGTACTTTTTTTGAATGCAAAATTGCTTCAGTGGATCAAATTGTTGTAGTTGTTGCTGAAGAGTGCTGATGCACTGGAAGATCTAATAAAAGTTGAATTTTATGATTATGAACTTAAAGGAAGAAGGGGAGATTTATTTTTTTTTTTAAAAAGGGAAGAAGCAGAGATTGCATGTGGGTAATTAATCTCTGAAATGAATATCACAAGATGGGAGAATTCTTTGGTCCTCTTTTTAACTGTGCTTGACAGAATAAATTGTAAATGATCAGGGATAGGGTTTTCCTTCTCATAATTTTAGGGTACAGAAAATTGTCTACTTTGGCCTCTTTGTTCAAGTGACTGAGGCTCATAGCAAAAACTTACATCTCTATCCGCGTGACAACCATTTGGGTTATCTGGAAAGAGAGCTTAGAAGGGCTTTGAGCATTTAGTTTCTTGCTTTACTAGACTTAGAGATCAATGGTGGCAGTGAGTTTTTTTGTTTAAGGATAATCCTCTTTCTTCTAATGAGGACTTGGGAGACCTAATTGGCATTTTGACTGATTTATAAAGCTATTGTAATTCAGGTGACATCCCCCGATTGATATTTTGACTGGTTTGTCAAGCTATTGTAAAAATCTTGTAGAATGCAGTATTTTATCTCAAAAAAAAGATGGGGAGAAAAGCGAAGAATATAAAAACATAATTATACTCTTCTGACATTAGACTGAGTGGATCACCTATTAATGGAACTGAAATTTTCATAATGTGCACTGGACTAAACCTGGATGTAACAATGTAAGCGAGGATGATGATTTAGTATAGGGCAGATACGTCCAACCATGAGAGATAGATAGAGAAGAGTGGGTGAGGAACCTTGAGCCAGTGGTGCAGGAAGAAACCTAGATGAACTTTTGGTTTCTTGTTACGACCTGTAAAGCTTCTCTCTTGTTCCTAAAAAAAGGCCTTTTGTTTGCGAACTCTAAGCCTCTGATTCAGCAGTTGCTCCCTCTATGATGAGGGGGATTTAGGACAGCTATAGTCTTCGGTGTGCTACTTATGTAAAACTATGGAAAATATATCAGGGGATTGTATTCCCTAGAATACTTTATAGAATTTTATGGACTGCATTATCTGCAATTATTTGCTTGATACTTCATTTATAACCGTATCTATTGTTTGCCCAATGCTTTATTGTTAATAGTAGCCTAGAATGTTATTGTTTTTTGGGAACTTTTTAACTGTTCACATGCTGTTCACATTAGATCAAGTTTTTAGAACTTGTGTTATCCTAAAAAATATGCTTTATACACCGATTGGTGTGTCCAATGTTTACCGTAAAAGAAGGTAGCAGTCACTGGTGTGGAAAATCTCTTAATCCACTAATGTTTCATGGTGGTTTTTCAGGGAACGTATCTGCATCATAAACAAATCAAGGCTGCACAGGGTATCAAGATCACTGCACAGGTGTTTATGCTTTTACTTGGCCCTTTTGCAACCTTGTTATGATTATTGATCCCTTCATCTATTATCCTGCATATTTGACATTCTAAAGGTACAATTTTTAAAAGAATTTTCCTTTTTTGTGACATGTCTTAATGCAGGGCCTCGAGCATGCTATTGCTGGCACTGGTCTATATGTTGTGGGGCCTGATGATGAGTTAGAAGATGTCAAGGAAGCAGCGATGGAAGATATGAAGTCAGTTATGAGTAGGATTGACAAAACCGGTGAAGGAGTTTGTGTACAAGCATCTACCCTAGGGTCATTGGAAGCATTGCTGGAGTTTTTGAAGTCTCCTGAGGTGAAGATTCCTGTTAGTGGCATAAGCATTGGTCCTGTCCATAAAAAGGATGTCATGAAGGCCAGTGTTATGCTTGAGAGGAAAAAGGAGTACGCCACCATCTTGGCATTTGATGTGAAAGTGACCCCAGAGGCCCGAGAACTTGCAGATGAATTGGGAGTGAAGATTTTTATGGCTGATATCATTTATCACTTATTTGATCAATTTAAGGCCTATATTGACAATATCAAAGAGGAGAAGAAGAAGGAAACTGCTGATGAAGCAGTTTTTCCGTGTGTGCTTAAGATCATACCCGCCTGTATCTTCAATAAGAAGGACCCGATCGTCTTGGGAGTTGATGTTCTTGAAGGCATAGCTAAGGTATTTTTCTGTTCTCTAACTTAGTGTGTGCAGCTTATTACACATCAAATCGTGCTTTTGGCATCTTACTCCGAGACGAAATGAAGGTTGCGTTGTATTTAAGTGAAGTCAGCATAACCATGCGTGAACTTTCCTTTATACAAACATATTCTAATGTGAGACATTTTTGTAGATTTTACGGTCCAGATTTTTGTTTGTGTCAACAGAAAATAAAGGAATCAAATGGCCAAAGATTAAAGGGAACATTGGTCATATACATGACGCATTTGTTGAAATATGGTTACATAATTTGTCTCTATTGCATCTAATGTTTGTAAATAGTAAAACTGTCCTTTTGGCACTCTACTCATGATTTTTCATGTAGCCAATTTCTTTTCTACTTATTTTTTCATCTCTTTTTGTACAGATTGGTACTCCAATTTGTATTCCTCAAAGGGAGTTCATTGATATTGGACGCATAGCATCTATAGAAAGTAACCACAAACCTGTTGACACTGCTAAGAAAGGCCAGAAAGTAGCTATCAAGGTATGCAATTGTGCTAGTTATAATAGCTATATATGCCTAGAGCTCTTATTTTTTTTTTTTCTAAAAAAAAAGAGGGTATTACTCCTGAACAAATAAGTGTTAGACAAGTGAAAGAACATAGAAGTGAAGGTGGAAAAAGGTACCTACCATCTGGCGATAAGGGAATTAAGTGTAGAGAGAACTTTCAAGGCTGAAGGCAAGCAAAAACCAAAATCTAATGGGCTATGATAGTGAATATCTTCCAGTGGATGGCACAAATTCGTTTTAACCTGATTTTTGGGTACTTAATTAAGTTATATATTCAATATAACATACGCATTATCCAGTTCATCTTCAAGTTCAATCCTTGACAGGTCCGATTACCACTTATTATATTATATTTCAACCTAATAAGTTTCCTATTAAAAATCACAATGAGCTGTATTGCTAAGCTACACATAATTGGATTTTGCCTTACCTTATGGTTGTGCTTTCCTAGATTGTTGGCTCGAATCCGGAGGAGCAACAAAAAATGTTTGGAAGGCATTTCGAGGTCGAAGATGAACTTGTTAGCCACATTTCAAGGAGGTCAATTGATATACTAAAGTCTAACTATCGGGTAAAGTTACAACTTTGAATGCCTACTACTTTTTTTTTTACAGTGGGTGATGCAAAGTCTGATATATAACACTTCAAATGTGTAGGATGAGCTATCTCTTGAGGAGTGGAAGCTGGTTGTGAAATTAAAGAACCTTTTCAAGATACAATAAACAGTGTAAAACTGAGGTGTTGAATTGAGTTTCTTGAAAGTCCGGTACTCTGAAGGGCTTCATGCACATGGGCATTCAAGTGTAAAGATACAGAGATTTTGCACTGGACCCAGCTTAAGAAATGGGAAAGTTGCGCATTGCACAAAGAAGCCCTTAGTAAAGTCTATTAATCATGACACATCATTGCAGAAGTTTTTGAAATCATCCTGTCAGTCTATTTCTTTGGTGGTACAGGAGCTCTATGTATGTTTGCAGTTTGATCTAGTCGAGCAAAAGGCAAAGCTGAGAGTAATTGTCTAGCACCTTTGTCAGTTAACCTTGTCTGGCATTTCAAGTTTTTGCTAGCAATCTCCTCTCTGCTATTTTGAGGTGAGGAATAAATGTTTTTATTGGTTATTCTGGATCGGAATACTTTATTTAATTGATGTGGTATAAGATGTTTGTTGTCGTCATATCTTCTTTTTTTTCTCACAGTAAGGTTGATTTGGGTTCATTTTTTATTGATCTTAATCGGAAATAATCTATAAATTTTTACGTAATCTGTGGATAACTGAGAAAAACTCTAATAAAACTTGCAATTAATGTAAAAATAAAAATAAGAGGGAAAGTTTTATTCATTAGAAAAATTGGGAAAGTCATATATCAGAACATTGGGTTACATCACCACCATTACCCCCATAATAAAAGCTGTACCCCCAGAATCCCCCCTTGAAGGAATTCCCACCAGAATGGTAACACTTGTTATTCATCAACTCTATCGGCACCGACTGACTACCGTTCAGTGAAGACCAGGTTTGATACCTAACCGCCAGTTGCAGAAAG